TCTATTTATTATATTATTTATTCTCAGTTATTTCTTTTGATAAAAGAGCAGTAAATCTTTGTCATTCTTGAGTCTCGGTGACCGGAGATCTCAGTGCATCATTGCTAGTGTAATTCAGTGCTTCAGTGGTTACCGTAAATTGTGATTTTTGTCTGTTCCGATTATTAAAATTTGGCGTCGTGCAATGGAGCTGCTAGTTATTGTGCAATTGAACCCGCATACCAGTCCGTGGAAGATCGAGGAACGCGTAGAGTGTTTCGAACTGTGGCGCAGTATTCGGAAGAGAGGCACACAGAACCAATCAGCCCCATTCCTCACGTGGTCGAGACCCGCATTTCTCACTGAAGAACCGAGCAGTTCCTGAGGATCTTGCTCAAAGTCCATGTAATTTCTCGAACCGGCTGCTGATTGAGCACATACACACAAGGACCAATTTTAATTCATTGCTAAGTGCCGAAAGCAATTCTTGTCACGATTTCGTTCTCCAGTTGAACAAACAGGCCACGAGCTGTAATTATGGCGATCGTCTGGAGGAACATCTGTTGTGTGATCGTCTGGTGGCAGGTATCAACAACTTGACATAGCAACGGGCATTGTTGGAAAAGAAAGACCCGACGTTCACAGAGATACGCAATATCAGTGACCAATATGGTGATCTAAAGCAAGCAACTTACAGTGAATCGTTCACTGTATTCCAACGGCACGGTGAGAAAACAGTCCGACCTCTAGCGGTCAAACGTGCATCTAAGCCATAATGTGACACTTTTATTATCGAGAAACCAATCAACTAATGTATATCGTGCGGAGCTTACCACCTGCAACGGATACCGCATTTATAATTCGGAGAAGGGGGTGGATTTGAAACGAAAAAGCCTCGAAGTATCATTGTGATGATCCTGTATTAGGTGTTTTCGATTAGATCCGCCTAACCTCAGCCGACTCCACGCCAGGATTGATTTTCAATGATTTTCTAATTTTATATAAGCACTGAAAATCGTCCCCGGTGTCTAGTTGATTGTGGTTAGACTCATCTTATCACCCAATACGGAATCATCGCAGTGGTTCTTCGAGGCTTGTTTGTCTCGCACCTGTTCCGCGAGCTGCAAATGAGATTTGCTTGCTATAGTTCACATCCGGAGTTCAATTATGAGGATGACCAGATAAAAGACCACTGAATACGCGTATCTGATCATCAGTAAGGACCGTGAAACCGGTCATGTGCTTTTGGGAAATTCTGTCCCGTAATTCATATACTTACCACTTACGCTCCACGAGTCGATCCTGCAATGCGGGAAAATTGTGCAATCAGTCCCACTGTAACTTGACGCAGACATCGATTCAGCAAAATACAACAGGTCTGATATTTACCCCAGGAACCCAAAGCGAGTATACTCAGTTCATACACAAATGTGTTGTGCTACAATCCGCCACGCAGTGCTCATTCGTTATCGACAGAGGAAGACCCAAGTCTACCATTTCTGTTGAAGTACTACGATCGATTTCTCCCGGAACCAAAATCCGTCCTTCCTCTATGCAGAGTTTTGTTACGAGGGCTGAGCGAAATGTTTCCGCGTACGACGTGCAGATGACCGGACACGGAGAACGTGAACGGTAATCTATGGTGAATATTATTCCGTGATTGCAACTTACAGAACCAAATATCAACAGCCGAGCACAGCCTTATATTGGTTTACGCAAGCTGGGTATCCCATCTGTTCAGTGAGGAACAGAAGCACTTTGGGCGAAGTGATGCCTCACCATGCTTGCCAGGTTTGATGGTGTACGTTCCAATGCAGTTCGGGAGATCGCCAGTGGTAAGGAGACCTGGGTATAGAGTTTTGACCTAGAGACCAAGTAACAATCGGCTCAGATTCATCAATAACTGCAGTGGAGGCCTTCACTGAATTGGTTAAAGGGTTAACCGCTTATGCATAGTGGAGCTGTTTCACCAAATGGTTTGCGTGCATAGACCTCCGCATGAACGCTTGTGGAGAATAAATACTTCGAGAAAATCTAATATTTATTTTTGTGTGACAAATAAAAGGTTTTGCATCCGGAAGCGTTTTACTCAGCCCTCGTAATACGGGTCACATGCTTTTGTTGGTGGGGGAGGTGTCGTTAATGATTCGATCAGCAAAACCTACTTCATTCTGGATCCGTTTTCTGTTCACTGAAACTATTCATCCCATTCTGGGTCTGAACGCCTCGCGTGAGTTGAGCCAATCATCGTCACTGCAACACCTCAAACTGCTGACATTTCAGATCTAGCTGCGATGATTGATCGTAACAGTTCCAGAAACGCCGGAGGCATGTGCGTCCAAACTGACAGGTTGAGAGTCGTTGGTTACCGACGGTTGAATGTATAAGGCCACGTCACCCCTATTCAAAAGATACAACAGAGATGTTGGTGAGGACGGCAGAAAGTGCTGCGGTATTCATGAGCCAGAGGAATGTGTTATCGATTGTATTGATAAATTGTTGTTCGCTGTCCAGTAGCAGAAAACCAGACTTCCACTCTTCAGCATCAAACTTAGCGGAGGACGTTTTTAAAGGTACATCGTCCCATACGGGTGAGATCGGATCTAAGTACGCCTCTAGGAGTACATTTGGTCAAAGTAGACCAATAATCTCTATTTGCTAGCTGGCTTTGTATGAATTGCCCACTTATCTTGTAGATATGATCAAAAATTCAGTGCAAAAATCCGTCTTCCTTAGCTAAATCATGCAAAATAGTAATAATCTTCATAATAATTTCACTTGTAAAATCCAAAATGACACAGTCTATTTCCAGTAATGGTTGTCACTCGAATTCGAACTGGTAAAATGTAGATAAATGCCAATGAATGGGATTAGAACAAATAATCATCATGCCGTGGTAGCTTGAATAATTTGTCCACCACTACCGCAGAACATGGGCTATACTTAATGTCGACCAGCCAAATAATGCATCTAGACAACGCAATATTTCAATAGACTAATCGAACTAAATAGGAGTCGCAAATCACAATGACAAATGAAGCAACTAATCACACTGGTAATCGTATACTGGAAACTCTCGTCACCGAGACGCAGGAAGAAGGTCACAGAAGTAGTGGTTACTTTATTGAGATAAATCAATAAGATCATATTTACAGAGTAATGCCTTTGGTTAAACAAATTGTGGTGATTCAGACTTACGTGACCGCAATCCAGGCACGACCAGGTGCAGCTTCATGTCATCCAATCACCTTTCAGGAAACTCGGCCAATGGTACACCGGGTAAACATGACATCTGAATTAGTACATATGATGAGTCGGCGCAGAACGTTTACGTGATTGGACGACAGCCCTTCAACCAATCATATGGCCTATTATCTTCTATAAAACATGCTCTAATTCTATCAATAAACATAAGCATTTTCTGCTGTCCATTCCTTGTGCATTTCATTGGTGTCCGCAGTTTGGGTTGGAGCCAATCCAGTTCTGAGCATTACAGTACGGGTTCTCGTATTCCTACATTCAGTACTATTCCGATTATCGTACAAATCTTTGCCAGTAGCCTGCAAACATTCTCAGTGTCACAATTTCTGTTTTAACTTCCCGGATTCTGATTGGTAGACACTATTAACCTGGCTCGTTGTCCAGAACCTGGGACGGGTCGCCCTTTGCTTGGTATTGTGTCTGAAACTAGAACCACCATCGTCATGTCGTGATTTTCGCTTGTTTGTTTTGAATTCTTGTCGAGTTTATCTTGGGCCTGGGAGTTAACTCAAAGCAGTAAATTACTAGCTTTAATAAGCATCAACTGATTACTGATTTTCTCTTTCAACTATTTCCACCAGATCACGGAAAGTGGTTTGACAAAACTGTCTGCTAGGCACCATTCGCCCAGTCCCCTGACCAGCACAGTTCCAGATCGAACAGGAACTCTAAAATCAACGAGCTATATTGATATACATCAGAAATCGTCACGACAAGGTGGTCATGCGTTACGATGCGCAAGCTCTATGACCGGGAAGCGTGCAACGTTTGATCCGATCTGTAAGGCCACTCGTGAGGCGTCTCAATCACAACCGGATGAGTTATATAACGATTCTTCATTGGTAAGATATTGCAAATGTTGAACTACACAGAAGAATTAACAAATCAATGTTTCTACTGTAATGGAAACTGAAAAATTAACATGATTACTGAAAGCTGTTTTACTATATAGCTAAGTTAGCTTCATAGCCAGTTGGTTTACAAAACAATGACACAAGTTTAAATAAAACTGTGCAATTTCTTTTTAGCTAACTCTAATTTTCGGAATGCATATAAAACCTTCAGCCTGCTGAGTTATACTTAAATTTTCTAGATACCTGTTACACCAGGGGGTGTGTGTTCTCTTTTCTTTCTTACAGCCTCTTCTTCTCACAACTGGCTCACAGGTTCTTCATGAGCCCTACTTTGGAGCAGCTCTGAGAGCACGGTGGAAACTCCAATCATTAGTCTGGAACCTTTATTTTCTTTCAATTGTGCTCGTTGAAGCGACTTTTGGAAGAAAGAAGTCTGCTACGGGAATATGTGGATTTCCCCTGAAGAAGGGTCTTCAAAACCCTGCTGAAATCCACCTGAAAATTAGCCTAGCCCAGTCGTCCTGCATAGCTTCCTTTCTGCACGAAAGTCATAAACCCTTTCTCTTCATCACGTGACTAAACACATTGCATTTATTTTGTCCATCTCTCTGGTCTAAACATAACATTTATCCCCTCCATTTTAGCCCTTTGGTCCTGTTTTTCAATTTATGTGGCCATTATCTGGTGGTATTATATAAAGTTTCTCATACTCCTTTTCCAGTAAGCTTTCTTTTGCTTCGCAGTTAATCTCAGTATCAATAATTATAATAATTGAAGTAGATACGGGATACAAATTTCAACTCATAGTAGCAAATGAAGCACGGAATCGCACTAACAATCGTGTGTTGAAATCCCCTGTCCATGAGAGGCAGAAGAACGGCCAAAGAAGTGGCGGTTTCCTACTTGAAAGAAATTAGACGAGCAGTAGTCAATCGCCGTCCTCGTTCTTCGCGTCATACAGCTTCTGTTTGAATGGTGTGGTTGTTGATTGGTCGATACAGTTGGTCCATGGCCCGATATCCGGAAAGCGGAACCTCTAAGTGCTTGTCTGGCGTCATCGCGCAGGGTTGACTCATCACACTAACCCACCTGAGCCAACCAACGCAAATATTTCCCATACGCTCAAAGGTCATGTATTCCGACTCCTTCACTATCACTGCCCAACGCTCTCCATTTCTGCTTGTCTCAATGCAGCCTTTCCCTTTCTGAAGACCCATTGCCTCGTATTGCACTCATGGATGCAATACCATGATAAAGTTTGTGAGTTAGGTTTTGCTTTCCATTTTTGAAATCGCTTACCTAAGCGGAACGATGAATTTCATATTATGGCTTTTTTTATGACATTCCTAGAGCTTTTCGACTGTATTTCCACAGATTGATAGAGTTCCCTCTGTGTGCCTCTAGGTAT